AGGAAGGGACCTTCTTGGAAGAGTTAGTACGATTTGAAGTATCATCTGGTAACATTAGCCAGCTGCATTCTGAGCTTCAGTCACCGGAAGAAGGGACAAGCAAGTAATGTCTTTACTTTCTGATTCCACAAGCCCCTGTCCTAATGAGATAGAGGTATTCTGAACAAACTGTACCAGGAGCTCTGGTTTGGATTCTAACTCATCTGATAACATTGATTCAATTTCCAAATCCCATAGCTGTTCAGGGGACAGGTTCAAATTTAATTCAGAGTCAATGATACCTTCCTGTTATGCTCATATTTCTTTAGGAAATGCTATGCTCTTCCAGTAAGATGCTGTACTAGGTGGTATATCAATTTAGCCTTCTTGTCCCTGGCAGCTGGCCTTCGTCAGTCAGTCCTGGATTCTGACCACACACCTACCTTTAATATTTTGAACCATATAAATATACAGTAATATCTGCAAAACCAGAACCTGTGTAAGGCGGACACCTGTCAGAGGAAGAAAACTCAAATATTTTCCACTAAATAGAGAGCGATAGAAAAGTCGTGACTGCCCCGTGTAAAAGGCGGAAAACTTGTGAGACCTGGAAAAACAAGGCAGTCCTGTTGAGTTCCCGCTTTCACAGGTTTCACTGTATTATCTATTTAAATAAATAAATATTGAAGAAGAAAAAAGAGATTACAGCCTAGAAAACCTGACGGGGCAGTTCCACTCTGTCACACTGGGTCGCAATGAATTGAAAATTAACTCAATGACACACCATGCACACACACAAGGGAGGTACAGATGATTAAATGCTCAGCTACTGTATGAAAAGTTGGTGGTTGGAATCCACCCAGAAGTGCCTTGGAAGAAATGTCTGGCTAACTACTTCAAAAGATCACAGCCATTGAAAATCCTATGGAGTGCATTTCTGCTCTGGTACACGTGGTGTTGCCATGAGTAAGAATTGACTTGATGGCAACTAGTTTAAATGTAATATGATTCCAAATGCCCTAATAATGAAGTTTGCTTCCTTTGTCACCATAAATCTACTCTCTACCTTTAGATAATTGCAATAGAAAACTACCCTTAAGTCTCTCATTCTGTTTTCTCTTGTTTGAAGAACAGAGAGGGCTACACAGTAATTCACAGTTACAATTTGGCTTGCGAATACTAAAGGCATATTTAATCC